GTGCACATGGCCTGGCACAAGCGTCGTGGTGATGTCACCACCACTTAGTGGCGAATGGCGGTTGGTGTTGTTGTTGTTGTGTGGTGGGGAGTGCTACGAACCGGGGCTTGATTCCCGCTCACGGCCAACACCGGTGACGATCATCTGAACAGGTCCCGGGCCTCCCCTAGGTCGACTCGGCCTCAAACGGGTACCTGGTGTAGTGAACATCGCCTCCGGGGAGACAAAGGCGGCCGGGCGCGGTGCTGGCCACAGCACAACCGCCCCTCGTGTGCCGTTCCGGCCTTCGTCGGTGCAACTCGTGAACGGCACTCGCCCCAACAGTCTGTTGGCGGCTGTAGGGGGAGACCTTTGTCCTGTGACCCCCAGGAGGGGGTCTCTGTCGTGCCTCTCGGAGAGACAGAGGGGGGGGGCAAAAGACATCGGCCTACAAAAATAAACGTCGCCCGGTTTTTTTTATTTGAATATTCAGCAAAAAATCACGTCGCACGGTAATGTTACAAACACGCTTACTACTCTGCCTGTCCAGGGTTAAAACACGAGACGAGCTTGCTAGAACGTCCACAACAACAACAACAGAGACGACTGACGATATCCAGAAGAGTGATAATAATTATAACAATAACAGCAGCGACGGCGGCGGCGGTAGTGTTGGGTGGCCTGGTGAAGGGCGTGGGGGGAGCAGTGGACATGGGGCCCCCCCCTCTACCCACCGTGCCCCCCCTTTTACCCACCCTGCCCCCCCCTACCCACCCTGCCCCCCCCCCCTCTACCCACCCTGGCCCCCTCAATCGTGCTGCGCTGTTTTCCTCCCAGAAGTCCCCCCCCCCCCACCCAGACCTCCCCCCGTGTTTGCGAGCGCCTATTACCACACACAGCGCTGTGTGTGTAGTGTAGTGTGGTATACATGCTACACACACACACCGCTCTCAGTGTGTGTGTGTGTAGTGTGGTATACATGCTACACACACACCGCTGTGTGTGTAGTGTAGTATACATGCTACACACACACCGCTCTCAGTGTGTGTGTGTAGTGTGGTATACATGACACACACTGTGTAGTGTGGTATACATGCCACACACACCGCTCTCCGTGTGTAGTGTGGTATACATGCCACACACACCGCTCTCTGTGTGTGTAGTGTAGTATACATGCCACACACACCGCTCTCAGTGTGTGGGTGTAGTGTGGTATACATGCCACACACACCGCTGTGTGTGTAGTGTGTAGTGTGGTATACATGCTACACACACACCGCTCTCAGTGTGTGTGTGTAGTGTGGTATACATGCCACACACACCGCTGTGTGTGTAGTGTGGTATACATGCCACACACACACTGCTCTCCGTGTGTAGTGTGGTATACATGCCACACACACACACACCGCTCTCCGTGTGTGTGTGTAGTGTGGTATACATGCCACACACACCGCTCTCCGTGTGTACCCTCTTCCCCACTCTCTCCTCCACTCTCCCCTCCACTCCTCCACTCTCCACCCTCTACCTCCACTCTCCACCCTCTACCTCCACTCTCCCCACTCTCTCCTCCACTCCCCACTCTCCACTCCCCACTCTCCACCCTCTACCTCCACTCTCCACCCTCTGCCTCCACTCTCCACCCTCTACCTCCACTCTCCACCCTCTACCTCCACTCTCCACCCTCTACCTCCACTCTCCCCACTCTCTCCTCCACTCTCCACCCTCCCATCGACACCATCTCCTCCCCTCCCACTCTCCCTCCTCCACTCTCTCCCCAATGTGGTAATCGACACTACCACCACCATCACCACCGTCACGACCACTACCACCATCACCACCACCATCACCACCACCACCATCATCATCGCGATCACTACCACCACTATAATCATCACCACTACCACCACCCCCAACATCAAAGGCCTGCGGCACTCGAAATGTCTCTCGGACACAACCCAAACCCTAACAACAACCACGACCCACAACAACAACAACATCAATATGGGGTGGAGTGGCGGGGTGCAGAGACTCGACTGGTGATGGTGGGCGCTGGTCATCTCCCATCCGCACACCACAACAACCACAACAACCACAACAACACCAACCCAGGGTGGCTAAACCGGGAACAGGGAGTTGGCCAGCGCGCTGCGTGGGGCGAGGCTCCTGCCGGGAGTTGGTGGTGGTGATGATGGTGGTGTTGGTTGATGATGATGGTGGTGATGGTGGGGGTGATGGTGGTGATGATGGTGTTGGTTGATGATGATGGTGGTGATGGTGGTGATGATGATGATGGGGGTGGTGATGGTAGTGTTGATTGGTGATGATGGTGTTGGTGGTGGTGGGGATGATGGTGTTGGTTGGTGATGATGGTGGTGGTGGTGGTGATGATGATGGTGGTGATGGTGATGTTGGTTGGTGATGATGGTGTTAGTGGTGATGGTGATGATGGGGGTGGTGATGGTGGTGTTGGTTGGTGATGATGGTGGTGGTGATGATGATGATGGTGGTGTTGGTTGGTGATGATGGTGGTAGTGGCGACGTTACCGCTGCTGCTGCTGCTGCCAGATTCCAGGTGGAGGGATTTTGCTGCGGGGGATGTCTCAGCACTGATTGGTGGGGAGGGGGTCACGTGGGGGTGTTACAGGGCGATAGCAGTTCCACTGTTGGTGTGGGGTCTAGCTACGTGGCAGGAGGAGGAGGAGGAAACACATGCAGGGCAGCGGGAGATGAGAGAGGGTGAGAGAACATGCAGTGTCCACACACACACACACAGACACACACACAGACACACACAGAGACACACACAGAGACAGACACACAGAGACACACACAGAGACACAGACACACACACAGACACACACACACAGACACACACACACAGAGGCACCGCAGGCAGGAGTCGAACCCAGCATCCCCTCCCCCGCTTCCAGCTGCGAGGCCACCGGCATCACCACTGCCCCACCACCAAATACAAAGACCCCCGTGTAGCCTCCAACAGGCTGCGGGGGCAAGTGCTGATGGCAGCGAGCGGCAGCGGCGCTGCCCACCACAGGCTACTGGCACCGCAGGCACACCAAGTGGGGGGTGGTCAGCACCACGCCCGGCCGCCTTTGTCTCCCCCGGTGTGGCGACGTTTACCACCGCCGCTACGGGCTAACTCATTTGAGGCCGAGTCGACCTAGGGGAGGCCCAGGACCGGAATCGGAGAGTAATTGTCGTCACCGGTGGCGGTGGCGGGGGCACCACCCGACCAGCGACACCGCGTCAACCCGCGTCCACTTGAGAACCGCGTCTTATACACTCGGCAAACCCGGAGCCGAAACCCCGGCGGTGGTGGTGGTGGGCTGCCACCGCTCGCTGAAACCACCACAACCACCACCACCACAACAACACCACCACCACCAGCACCACCACCACAACAACAACACCACCACCAGCACCACCACCACAACAACAACACACCCCACTGCGGGGGGGAGGGGGGGTGGCGGCAGCGGGAGGAGTGGTGGCGCAGCGGTTTGGCACACGCCAAGCCAAGCGAAGCCCATCAACCCCTGTGACTCCAAATTCGATCGCGGGGGGAAAAAGCGAAATGTCCCCCACGAGCTCCCCCTCCTCTCCCCCTCCTCTCCCCCTCCTCTCCCCCTCCTCTCCCCCTCCTCCTCCTCCACCAGCCCCCCTCCCTCTGCACTGCGGCCGGCACGGTGAAGTATGGCCGAACGATTCGCTGGCCCCCAGGGCCCACGGGTCGCTGAGGGTGGCTAGGAGACGTTGACTACCTCGCCTGGTCCGCAGGAGGTCGTGGGTACGCTCCCGACCCTGACGACGCCCGTCGTCATTTCTGAAGCGTGCGTCTCAATCTCTGGGCTCTCCGGTGGTGGAGGTGGTGGTGGTGGCGTGGAGTTTTCTGGCTATCCCCCCCCGCCTCTCCGCACTCAGAACCGGCGGCGTCGATTTCGGAGCGTTTGGGCGACGGCTGTGACTCTACAAGCGGAGCCGTCGCCTGCCATAGCCGGGGGCCGCCACAGCCTGACGCAGTGGACGAGAGCGGGGAGGTGGGACGGACGCCCTCGCCACCGCGGCCAGGGAGGGAGAGCGAGAGGAAGAGAGCGAGAGCGGGAGACGGACAGAGACAGACAGAGAGAGAGCGGGAGACGGAGAGAGACAGAGAGACGGACAGACAGGGAGAGACAGAGAGAGAGACAGAGACAGACAGAGAGACAGAGACACGGACAGAGACAGAGACACATACAGAGCGAGAGACAGAGAGAGCGAGAGACAGAGAGAGAGAGAGCGAGAGACAGAGAGAGAGCGAGAGACAGGGAGAGACAGAGAGAGAGAGCGAGAGAGACACAGACAGAGAGACAGACAGAGCGGGAGCTGCACACAGCTGTGAGGACGACTCACGGCTACACAGCGAGAGGAGGAGGCCGCACGTCATGGGCGCAGTCCCCACCGTACACACCGCCGTAGTGGGGGGGTGGGTGGAGTGGGGGGGCGTAGTGGGGGGGGGGGCGTAGTGGGTGGGTGTAGTGGGGGGGGGGCGTAGTGGGTGGGTGTAGTGGGGGGGGGGGGCGTAGTAGGGGAGTGCCTAAGGGAAGGGGCGGTGGAGATGCCGACCCCCCCTCTCAGAGCGCCGCCTCTGAAGCTTCGTTCATGCGAGAGGAGAAAAAAATTGTCTAAAGTTGCGGTGTCTGTGTGTACGTGTCTGTGTGTGTGTGTACGTGTCTGTGTGTGTGTGTACGTGTCTGTGTGTACGTGTCTGTGTGTACGTGTCTGTGTACGTGTCTGTGTGTACGTGTCTGTGTGTGTGTACTGCGTGACTGCGTGTCTGTGCGTGTCTGCGTGTGTGTGTACGTGCGTGTGTGTGTACGTGTCTGAGTCTGTGTACATGCATGTCTGTGTACGCGTCTGTGTATGTGCGTGTGTGTACGTGCGTGTACGTGCATGTGTTTGTGCATGTGTCTGTGCATGACTGCGTGTGTGCGTGTCTGTGTCCGTGCGTGTCTGTGTCTATGCGTGTCTGTACGTGCGTGTGCATGACTGCGTGTCTGTGTCTGTGCGTGCCTGTGTCTGTGCGTGTCTGTGTGTCTATGCGTGTCTGTGTCTGTGCGTGTCTGTGTGTCTATGCGTGTCTGTGCATGCGTCTTGATCTAAGTGGGTAGCTATGCCACACGAACGGCTTGACCTTTGACCTGTGCGGCCCGTACGGCACACGGCTTTGGGGGGGGGCCTGTGTACCTTCGGTGTTGCCGTGGAGACGGGGTGGGGGGGAAAGGGGGTATGGGGGGGGGCATCACCAGTGGGGGGCTGCGTACCCGTAGGTGGGGGGCCCGGGTGGGCGGTACGTTGGCATGGCAACGCCCGGGCCCCCCACGGTGCCGGGGGGAGGGGCGGCCAGCAGTGTACCTGCAGGAGAGAGGGGGGGGGGGGGGTAAGGTGAGGTGAGACGCATTGACGCGCACACACACAGGCACACACACACACAGGCACACACACACACAGGCACACACACACACGCACCGGCACACACACAGGCACACACACACAGGCACACACACAGGCGAACACACACACAGGCGCACACACACACAGGCACGCACACACAGGCACGCACACACAGGCACACACACACAGGCACGCACGCACCAGCACACGCACACAGGCACAAGCACACAGGCACACACACACCAACCCTAGGCCCATCCCAATCTCCTAACTCCCTAGCACTACCCCCCCGAGCACTACCCCCCCGAGCACTACCCCCCCTAGCACTACCCCCCCTAGCACTACCCCCCCTAGCACTACCCCCCCTAGCACTACCCCCCCTAGCACTACCCCCCCGAGCACTACCCCCCCTAGCACTACCCCCCCTAGCACTACCCCCCCCTAGCACTACCCCCCCTAGCACTACCCCCCCTAGCACTACCCCCCCTAGCACTACCCCCCCTAGCACTACCCCCCCTAGCACTACCCCCCCCCCTAGCACTACCCCCCCTAGCACTACCCCCCCTAGCACTACCCCCCCTAGCACTACCCCCCCCCCTAGCACTACCCCCCCTAGCACTACCCCCCTAGCACTACCCCCCCCTAGCACTACCCCCCCCCAGCACTACCCCCCCCCAGCACTACCCCCCCCCTAGCACTACCCCCCCCCTAGCACTACCCCCCCCCCTAGCACTACCTCCCCCCCTAGCACTACCCCCCCCCCTAGCACTACCCCCCCCCCCTAGCACTACCCCCCCCCTAGCACTACCCCCCCCCCTAGCACTACCCCCCAAGCACTACCCCCCCAAGCACTACCCCCCCAAGCACTACCCCCCCTAGCACTACCCCCCCTAGCACTACCCCCCCTAGCACTACCCCCCCTAGCACTACCCCCCCTAGCACTACCCCCCCTAGCACTACCCCCCTAGCACTACCCCCCCTAGCACTACCCCCCTAGCACTACCCCCCTAGCACTACCCCCCCTAGCACTACCCCCCCTAGCACTACCCCCCTAGCACTACCCCCCCTAGCACTACCCCCCCTAGCACTACCCCCCCCTAGCACTACCCCCCCCTAGCACTACCCCCCCCCAGCACTACCCCCCCCCCAGCACTACCCCCCCCCCCAGCACTACCCCCCCCCTAGCACTACCCCCCCCCTAGCACTACCCCCCCCCCTAGCACTACCCCCCCCCTAGCACTACCCCCCCCCCTAGCACTACCCCCCCCCCCTAGCACTACCCCCCCCCCTAGCACTACCCCCCCCCCCTAGCACTACCCCCCCCCTAGCACTACCCCCCCCCTAGCACTACCCCCCCCCTAGCACTACCCCCCCCTAGCACTACCCCCCCTAGCACTACCCCCCCTAGCACTACCCCCCCCTAGCACTACCCCCCCCTAGCACTACCCCCCCCTAGCACTACCCCCCCCTAGCACTACCCCCCCCCTAGCACTACCCCCCCCCTAGCACTACCCCCCCCCTAGCACTACCCCCCCCCTAGCACTACCCCCCCCTAGCACTACCCCCCCCCTAGCACTACCCCCCCCTAGCACTACCCCCCCCCTAGCACTAACCCCCCCCTAGCACTACCCCCCCCCCTAGCACTACCCCCCCCCTAGCACTACCCCCCCCCTAGCACTACCCCCCCCCCTAGCACTACCCCCCCCCCTAGCACTAACCCCCCCCCCCTAGCACTACCCCCCCCCCTAGCACTACCCCCCCCCCTAGCACTACCCCCCCCCCCTAGCACTACCCCCCCCCCCTAGCACTACCCCCCCCCCTAGCACTACCCCCCCCCCTAGCACTACCCCCCCCCCTAGCACTACCCCCCCCCCTAGCACTACCCCCCCCCTAGCACTACCCCCCCCCTAGCACTACCCCCCCCCTAGCACTACCCCCCCCCCTAGCACTACCCCCCCCCTAGCACTACCCCCCCCTAGCACTACCCCCCCTAGCACTACCCCCCCCCTAGCACTACCCCCCCCTAGCACTACCCCCCCCTAGCACTACCCCCCCCTAGCACTACCCCCCCCTAGCACTACCCCCCCCTAGCACTACCCCCCCCTAGCACTACCCCCCCCTAGCACTACCCCCCCCTAGCACTACCCCCCCCTAGCACTACCCCCCCCTAGGACTACTCCCCCCTACCCCCCTAGCACTACCCCCCCTAGCACTACCCCCCTACCACTACCACCACTACCCCCCTAGCACTACCCCCCTACCACTACCCCCACTACCACCACTACCCCCCTAGCACTACCCCCCTAGCACTACCCCCACTACCCCCCTAGCCCTACCCCCCCCCCACCCCCCTACCACTACCCCCACTACCACCACTACCCCCCTAGCCCTACCCCCCCCCACCCCCCTACCACTACCACCACTACCCCCCCTACCCCCCCCCACCCCCCTAGCCTCCCCCTCGTCTAAGCCGCCCCCTTTCCCTGCGGCTGACCGGTCATGGCCATGGCGGCCCCGGTGAGCACGGGCAGCGGCCGCGGCGCGGGCAGAGCGGGCGGGTAGAGCGCCGCGGCCGCCGCCGCCGCCGCCGCCGCCGCCGCGCTGCTGGTGGTGTGGTGGTGGTGGTGCAGGCTGCTGGGCTGCACCACCGTTGTGTGGTGGATCACGTGCGGCTGGGACGCCGCCGCCGCAGCCGCCGCAGCCGCGGCGTACACGGGCTGGGCAAAGTAGGCGCCCTGACGCACGCACAGAGACACGGGAGGAGGGGGGGGGGGGGTAGAGACACGGGGGAGGGTGGGTAGAGACACGGGGAGGGGGGGTAGAGACACGGGGAGGGGGGGTAGAGACACGGGGAGGGTGGGTAGAGACACGGGGGGGGTAGAGAGACGGGGGGGGGGGTAGAGACACGGGGAGGGGGTAGAGACACGGGGAGGGGGGGTAGAGACACGGGGGGGGTAGAGACACGGGGGGTAGAGACACGGGGGGGATAGAGACACGGGGGGGGGTAGAGACACGGGGGGTAGAGACACGGGGGGGATAGAGACACGGGGGGGGGGTAGAGACACGGGGGGGTAGAGACACGGGGGGGGTAGAGACACGGGGGGGTAGAGACACGGGGGGGGTAGAGACACGGGGGGGTAGAGACACGGGGGGGGGTAGAGACACGGGGGGGTAGAGACGCGGGGGGGGGGGGGGTAGAGACACGGGGGGGTAGAGGCACGGGGAGGTAGAGACACGGGGGGGGTAGAGACACGGGGGGGGTAGAGACACGGGGGGTAGAGACACGGGGTCACAGAGACACGGGGTCACAGAGACACGGGGTCACAGAGACACGGGGTCACAGAGAAAGCCAATTAACCTTGGTAAACGCAGGGGTGATGTTGCCCAAGTGAAGTGATGGCTGTCAATGGGCTCTCTGGTGGTTAAATAAAGGGTGTGGATGGTGAGGTGGATGGCGATGAGTGTGGCAGTGACCGTGATGAGAATGCAGAGTTTGTTACGCAAAGGAAAAGCTGACTGGGCGAAAAGCAGAGTGGATGCGTGCGTGCGTGCGTGCAACAAGACAATAACACCAACACACACGCCACCACGTACCAGCACACACGCACACACTACCACGCACCAGCACACACCACAACGCACCAGCACACACGCAGACACCACCACGCACCAGCACACACACATGCCAACACGTACCAGCACACACACGCCATCACGTACCAGCACACATGCACACACCATCACGTACCAACACACACACGCCACCACGTACCAGCACACACGCACACACACGCCACCACGTACCAACACACACGCACACACACCATCACGTACCAACACACACGCACACACACCATCACGTACCAACACACACGCACACACACGCCACCACGTACCAGCACACACACGCCATCACGTACCAGCACACACGAGCACACACACCATCACGTACCAACACACATGCACACACACGCCACCATGCACCAGCACGCACGCACGCCATCACGTACCAACACACACACCATCACGTACCAACACACACACACCATCACGTACCAACACACACGCACACACACACCATCACGTACCAACACACACACACACACACCATCACGTACCAACACACACGCCATCACGTACCAACACACACGCATACACACACCATCACGTACCAATACACACGCACACACACCACCACGTACCAGCACACACGAACACACCATCACGTACCAACACACACACACACGCCATCATGTACCAACACACACCACCACGTACCACCACACACACACACGCCACCACGTACCAGCACACACACACGCCATCACGTACCAACACACACGCACACACACGGCACCACGTACCAGCACACACACGCCATCATGTACCAACACACACCAACACGTACCAGCACACACACGCACACACACGCCACCACGCACCAGCACACACGCACGCCATCATGTACCATCACACACACACCATCACGTACCAACACACACGCACACACACACCATCACGTACCAACACACACACACACCATCATGTACCAACACACACGCACACACACACCATCACATACCAACACACATGCACACACCATCACGTACCAACACACACGCACACACACACACCATCACGTACCAACACACACGCACACACACGCCACCACGTACCAGCACACACACACGCCATCACGTACCAACACACACGCATACACACGCCACCACGTACCAGCACACACACACACACCACCACGCACCAGCACACACGCACACACCATCACGTACCAGCACACACGCACACACCATCACGTACCAACACACACATACCATCACGTACCAACACACACCCACACACACACCATCACGTACCAACAGACACGCACACACACACCATCACGTACCAACACACAAGCACACACACACCATCACGTACCAACACACACGCACACACACACCATCACGTACCAACACACACGCACACACACGCCACAACGTACCAACAGACACGCACACACACACCACCACGTACCAGCACACACACACACACACACGCCACCACGTACCAGCACACACACGCCATCACGTACCAACACACATGCACACACACGCCACCACGTACCAGCACACACACACACACACCACCACGCACCAGCACACACGCACACACCATCACGTACCAACACACACACACCATCACGTACCAACACACACGCACACACACACCATAACGTACCAACACACACGCACACACACACCACAACGTACCAACACACACACACGCTACCACGTACCAGCACACACACGCCATCACGTACCAACACACACACACACACCACCACGCACCAGCACACACGCACACACCATCACGTACCAACACACACACACCATCACGTACCAACACACACGCACACACACACCATCACGTACCAACACACACGCACACACACACCACAACGTACCAACACACACACACGCCACAACGTACCAACACACACACGCCATCACGTACCAACACACACACACACGCCATCACGTACCAGCACACACGCACACACCATCACGTACCAACACACACGCACACACACCACAACGTACCAGCACACACACGCCATCACGTACCAACACACGCCACCACGTACCAGCACACAAACACACCACCACGGACCAGCACACACGCACACACCATCACGTACCAACACACACACACCATCACGTACCAACACACACGCACACACACACCATCACGTACCAACACACACACACACCATCACGTACCAACACACACACCATCACGTACCAACACACACGCACACACACACCATCACGTACCAACACACACGCACACACACACCATCACGTACCAACACACACGCACACACACACCATCACGTACCAACACACACGCACACACCCGCCACAACGTACCAGCACACACACGCCATCATGTACCAACACACACCACCATGTACCAGCACACACACGCACACACACATGCCACCACGCACCAGCACACACACGCCATCATGTACCAACACACACACACACCATCACGTACCAACACACACGCACACACACAACGTACCAACACACACACACGCCACCACGTACCAGCACACACACGCCATCACGTACCAGAACACACGCACACACCATCACGTACCAACACACACGCACACACACACCACAACGTACCAGCACACACACGCCATCACGTACCAACACACACCACCACGTACCAGCACACACACGCCATCACATACCAACACACATGCACACACACGCCACCACGTACCAGCACACACGCATACACACGCCACCACGTACCAGCACACACACACACCACCACGCACCAGCACACACGCACACACCATCACGTACCAGCACACACGCACACACCATCACGTACCAACACACACACACCATCACGTACCAACACACACCCACACACATACCATCATGTTCCAACACACACGCACGCACACACACACAACGTACCAACACACACACACGCCACCACGTACCAGCACACACACGCCATCACGTACCAGAACACACGCACACACCATCACGTACCAACACACACGCACACACACACCACAACGTACCAGCACACACACGCCATCACGTACCAACACACACCACCACGTACCAGCACACACACACACACACGCCACCACGTACCAACACACACACACCATCACGTTCCAACACACACGCACACACACACCATCACGTACCAACACACACACACACGCCACCACGTACCAGCACACACACACGCCATCACGTACCAACACACACACACCATCACGTTCCAACACACGCACACACACACCATCACGTACCAACACACACGCACACACACACACACCATCACGTTCCAACACACACGCACACACACACCATCACGTACCAACACACACGCACACACACACCACAACGTACCAACACACACACACACGCCACCACGTACCAGCACACACACGCCATCACGTACCAGCACACACGCACACACCATCACGTACCAACACACACGCACACACACACCACAACGTACCAACACACACCCACACACACACCATCACGTACCAACACACACGCACACACACGCCATTACGTACCAACACACAATCTTGTCCCTGACATCCTTGGAGAGCTCTTTGGTCTTGGCCATGGTGGAGAGTTTGGAATCTGATTGATTGCTTCTGTGGACAGGTGTCTTTTATACAGGTAACAAGCTGAGATTAGGAGCACTCCCTTTAAGAGTGTGCTCCTAATCTCAGCTCGTTACCTGTATAAAGGACACCTGGGAGCCAGAAAACCTTCTGATTGAGAGGGGGTCAAATACTTATTTCCCTCATTAAAATGCAAATCAATTTATAACATTTTTGACATGCGTTTTTCTGGATTTTGTTGTTGTTATTCTGTTTAACACTGTTCAAATAAACCTACCATTAAAATTATAGACTGATCATTTCTTTGTCAGTGGGCAAACGTACAAAATCAGCAGGGGATCAAATATTTTTTCCCTCACTGTACGCACACAGACACATACCCGCACAGACACACGTACACACACTCGCCCGTGCGCGCACACGTACGCACGCACGCACACAGACACACACCCGCACAGACACACGCACACACACGTACGCACGCACACACAAGTACGTACGCACACAGACACACACTCGCACAGACACACGCACACACACGTACGCAAGCACAGACACACGTACACACACGCACACAGATACACCTACACACACACGTACGCACGCACACAGACACACGTACACACACACATACGCACACACACACGTGCGCACAGACACACGTGCGCACACACACACGCACGCACACACGCACGCACACACGCACGCACACACGTACACACACACGTGCGCACAGACACACGCACACACACACGCACGTACGCACACATGTACACACACTCACAGACACTCACAGACACAAGTACACACACACACGTACACACACACATACGCACACACACACGTGCGCACAGACACACGTGCGCACACACACACGCACGCACACAAGCACGCACACACGCACGCACACACGTACACACACACGTGCGCACAGACACACGCACACACACACGCACGCACACACGCACGCACACACGTACACACACTCGCCCGTGCGCGCACGTACGCACGACAGGGTGGTTTGTTGGATCACATGGGGTGGAGGCGTTCCGAGCATGGGCTGACCCAAGTATGAACCCTACACACGCACACACACGACAAAGACAAAGATCCCCCGTGTAGCCTTTCACAGACCGTCAGGGGCAAGTGCTGTTACAGAGGCGGGTTGGGTTGGTGCCTGGGTGGGTGGTGGGTGGCCAGCACCACGCCCGCCCGCCCGCCCGACATCGACTACTCCGCACACCGCACCGGGTACTCATTTGGGGCCGAGTCGACCTAGGGGAAGGCCCAGGATCGATTCGGATATAATCAATTGCCCGAGTTATGCGGTCCTCTACACAGCAAGATGCCTTCAGCCGACGAGCCAAGTGCTTTGTGCACGTGGGGAGGAGGAAACGGGCTGTGAGATGTTAACTACCTCGCCTGGTCTGCAGGAGGCCGTGGGTTCGATCCCGACCCCTGACAACGCCTGCTGCTGCTGCTGCTGTACATTTGTAGTTTGTGTCTCTCTCTCGTCATCATCACGGTGGCTGTGAGATGTTAACTACCTCGCCTGGTCTACAGGAGGCCGTGAGTTCGATCACAACCCCTGACAACGCCTGCTGCTGTATATTTGGAGTTTGCGCGTCTCTCTCTCTCTCCCCGTGGCCGCGTGGATTTTTCCTCCGGGACGTGCGTCGGCTCCTCCCGCCACATTAAGAATCGACGTGGCAGCGCGCAATCACCAGGGCACGGCGTTCCCCGCGCGTTTAGCGGTGCCCATCGATGACCGATATCTCCATGAACCGAATCCGCCTCCCGACGGCGGGGGCGGTGGGGGACCCTGCGGTTTCTATTCCCAACATTCTCTTTCCATTAACGGACAAGGCTCGCGATTACCCCGCTCGGAAGCCAGTTTCGGCCAATCGGAGCGCTCCTAAGTTGGACTCGGCAGCGGGCGACGGCTGATCGGCGGCCGCCCCTTTTCCGAGCGGTTCGTTCTCGCTCCCTCCCAACACCCCCCCCAAAATTCTCCGACAACCCCTGGCCATCTTCTTAGGCCTAAGGTGAGAATGTTTTGTTTAACGCTCTGTCTTGTGCACCTTTTCATGCTCCACCCGTGCATCATATACCCGCGTTTCTCACAGCGTCGATGCTTCAGAACGTTCCCGTCACTCTCACTCGTTAAATCTGCATGTTTAAATACGGCAAAAAAACGCGTTCCTTTAGCGGGTGGCAAAGGTCGCCATCGTCCCAGGGCAAACGGAAACAAAAAGCGGCGGCACGTTCCATTAAGGGCGACGACGGTGCAGACAAACCTTATCCCCAAAGCCTACGTGTTAAACAGACAAACGTTGTCGCGAAAGCCTACGTGTTAAACAGACAAACCTTGTCCCCAAAACCTACGTGTTAAACAGACAGACGTTGTCGCGAAAGCCTACGTGTTAAACAGACAAACCTTGTCGCCAAAGCCTACGTGTTAAACAGACAAACCTTGTCGCCAAAGCCTACGTGTTAAACAGACAAACCTTGTCGCCAAAGCCTACGTGTTAAACAGACAAACCTTGTCACGAAAGCCTACGTGTTAAACAGACAAACCTTGTCACCAAAGCCTACGTGTTAAACAGACAAACGTTGTCGCCAAAGACTACGTGTTAAACAGACAAACCTTGTCACCAAAGCCTACGTGTTAAACAGACAAACCTTGTCGCCAAAGCCTACATGTTAAACAGACAAACCTTGTCGCCAAAGCCTACGTGTAAAAGACAAACCTTGTCCTCAAAGCCTACGTGTTAAACAGACAAATCTTGTCGCCAAAGCCTACGTGTTAAACAGACAAACGTTGTCACGAAAGCCTACGTGTTAAACAGACAAACGTTGTCGCCAAAGCCTACGTGTTAAACAGACAAACGTTGTCGCCAAAGCCTACGTGTTAAACAGACAAACCTTGTCCTCAAAGCCTACGTGTTAAACAGACAAACCTTGTCGCCAAAGCCTACGTGTTAAACAGACAAACGTTGTCACGAAAGCCTACGTGTTAAACAGACAAACGTTGTCGCCAAAGCCTACTTGTTAAACAGACAAACGTTGTCGCCAAAGCCTACGTGTTAAACAGACAAACCTTGTCGCCAAAGCCTACGTGTTAAACAGACAAACCTTGTCGCCAAAGCCTACGTGTTAAACAGACAAACCTTGTCGCCAAAGCCTACGTGTTAAACAGACAAACCTTGTCGCCAAAGCCTACGTGTTAAACAGACAAACCTTGTCACCAAAGCCTACGTGTTAAACAGACAAACCTTGTCGCCAAAGCCTACGTGTTAAACAGACAAACCTTGTCGCCAAAGCCTACGTGTTAAACAGACAAACCTTCTCGCCAAAGCCTATGTGTTAAACAGACAAACCTTGTCGCCAAAGCCTACGTGTTAAACAGACAAACCTTGTCGCCAAAGCCTACGTGTTAAACAGACAAACCTTGTCGCCAAAGCCTATGTGTTAAACAGACAAACCTTGTCTCGAAAGCCTACGTGTTAAACAGACAAACCTTGTCGCCAAAGCCTACGTGTTAAACAGACAAACCTTGTCGCCAAAGCCTACGTGTTAAACAGACAAACCTTGTCGCCAAAGCCTACGTGTTAGACAGGCAAACCTTGTCGCCAAAGCCTATGTGTTAAACAGACAAACCTTGTCGCCAAAGCCTACGTGTTAAACAGACAACGTTGTCGCGAAAGCCTACGTGTTAAACAGACAAACCTTGTCGCCAAAGCCTACGTGTTAAACAGACAAACCTTGTCGCCAAAGCCTACGTGTTAAACAGACAAACCTTGTCACCAAAGCCTATGTGTTAAACAGACAAAGTTGTCACCAAAGCCTACGTGTTAAACAGATAAACCTTGTCGCGAAAACCTACATGTTAAACAGACAAACCTTGTCGCCAAAGCCTACGTGTTAAACAGACAAACCTTGTCGCCAAAGCCTACGTGTTAAACAGACAAACCTGTCACCAAAGCCTACGTGTTAAACAGACAAACCTTGTCAGCAAAGCCTACGTGTTAAACAGACAAACCTTGTCGTCAAAGCCTACGTGTTAAACAGACAAACCTTGTCACCAAAGCCTACGTGTTAAACAGACAAACCTTGTCGCCAAAGCCTACGTGTTAAACAGACAAACCTTGTCACCAAAGCCTACGTGTTAAACAGACAAACCTTGTCACCAAAGCCTACGTGTTAAACAGACAAACCTTCTCACCAAAGCCTACGTGTTAAACAGACAAACCTTGTCAACAAAGCCTACGTGTTAAACAGACAGACCTTGTCACCAAAGCCTACGTGTTAAACAGACAAACCTTGTCGCCAAAGCCTACGTGTTAAACAGACAAACCTTGTCACCAAAGCCTACGTGTTAAACAGACAAACCTTGTCGCCAAAGCCTACATGTTAAACAGACAAACCTTGTCGCCAAAGCCTACGTGTTAAACAGACAAACCTTGTCACCAAAGCCTACGTGTTAAACAGACAAACCTTGTCACCAAAGCCTACGTGTTAAACAGACAAACCTTCTCACCAAAGCCTACGTGTTAAACAGACAAACCTTGTCAACAAAGCCTACGTGTTAAACAGACAGACCTTGTCACCAAAGCCTACGTGTTAAACAGACAAACCTTGTCACCAAAGCCTACGTGTTAAACAGACAAACCTTGTCACCAAAGCCTACGTGTTAAACAGACAAACCTTGTCACCAAAGCCTACGTGTTAAACAGACAAACCTTGTCACCAAAGCCTACGTGTTAAACAGACAAACCTTGTCAACAAAGCATACGTGTTAAACAGACAAACCTTGTCAACAAAGCCTACGTGTTAAACAGACAGACCTTGTCACCAAAGCCTACGTGTTAAACAGACAAACCTTGTCACCAAAGCCTACGTGTTAAACAGACAAACCTTGTCACCAAAGCCTACGTGTTAGACAGACAAACCTTGTCACCAAAGCCTACGTGTTAAACAGACAAACCTTGTCGCCAAAGCCTACATGTTACACAGACAAACCTTGTCGCCAAAGCCTACGTGTTAAACAGACAAACCTTGTCGCCAAAGCCTACGTGTTAAACAGACAAACCTTGTCGCCAAAGCCTACGTGTTAAACAGACAAACCTTGTCGCCAAAGCCTACGTGTTAAACAGACAAACCTTGTCACCAAAGCCTATGTGTTAAACAGACAAAGTTGTCACCAAAGCCTACGTGTTAAACAGATAAACCTTGTCGCGAAAGCCTACATGTTAAACAGACAAACCTTGTCGCCAAAGCCTACGTGTTAAACAGACAAACCTTGTCGCCAAAGCCTACGTGTTAAACAGACAAACCTGTCACCAAAGCCTACGTGTTAAACAGACAAAAATTGTCAGCAAAGCCTACGTGTTAAACAGACAAACCTTGTCGTCAAAGCCTACGTGTTAAACAGACAAACCTTGTCACCAAAGCCTACGTGTTAAACAGACAAACCTTGTCGCCAAAGCCTACGTGTTAAACAGACAAACCTTGTCACCAAAGCCTACGTGTTAAACAGACAAACCTTGTCGCCAAAGCCTACATGTTAAACAGACAAACCTTGTCGCCAAAGCCTACGTGTTAAACAGACAAACCTTGTCACCAAAGCCTACGTGTTAAACAGACAAACCTTGTCACCAAAGCCTACGTGTTCAACAGACAAACCTTCTCACCAAAGCCTACGTGTTAAACAGACAAACCTTGTCAACAAAGCCTACGTGTTAAACAGACAGACCTTGTCACCAAAGCCTACGTGTTAAACAGACAAACCTTGTCGCCAAAGCCTATGTGTTAAACAGACAAACCTTGTCGCCAAAGCCTACGTGTTAAACAGACAAACCTTGTCGCCAAAGCCTACGTGTTAAACAGACAAACCTTGTCGCCAAAGCCTATGTGTTAAACAGACAAACCTTGTCTCGAAAGCCTACGTGTTAAACAGACAAACCTTGTCGCCAAAGCCTACGTGTTAAACAGACAAACCTTGTCGCCAAAGCCTACGTGTTAAACAGAAAAACCTTGTCGCCAAAGCCTACGTGTTAGACAGGCAAACCTTGTCGC